GGTGACCATGCGTGGCAACGAAGTTTAAGTGGTTACAGAGAATGGCTATTAAAACGTTCCATGCTTTAGGTATAGGGTGATTTCACCATGCATCGGACACATACCTTGCTTCGGACAACTTTAGACAATAAATTCTCTTTCAACTTAAGAGTTCCATGTATTTATTTGTTTCTATCTTAAAGCTGAAGATTTAATTTTTTTAATGATACCGATTGTTATTATCATGTTGTGATAAAAATACCCCGAGAATGTTACGTCATATTTTACATCATCAAAGGGGAATAACCAGAAATTTATGATTTTGCGATTTTTAGAGTTATCGTTCTTAAAATTCGACTTCAACGGAACGAGTCAGACTTTGGTGAATAAAGACAAAGATTGGCAATTTTACATAAATTTTAAAGAAATTTTACTTCAATGTTCGTATAATTCTTTTTAGGGCTGGGTTTCACTAGTATGTTCATTTCTCCGTACATCGGACACAAATTAACCATGCATCAGACACTTTCCGATGCAAAGATAAGCACTACCATTTTCATACAGAACCCAGCTGATAGCTGTTTTTTGTGGAAAAAGAAAATAAAAACTATATTTTCAGTCAAAATACAAGTTATCGATATATGACGTCTGGAATTTGACTCAATTTATTTCTACAAACCAGAGTATGATAAACCATGAAAAAAAGACGCGAATTACCGTATTATAAGCATTTTAAAGCATTTCTAAGGCAGAGTGAGGTCTCTTGAATTGCTCTACATCTGTGCAATTATATCGTCAATTAAATTTAAGTTGAGGGCTATTTCTTAGATAAAAGATAAAAATATATCCATATCAAGTATTATAAAGCACTTTGATAACGGTATGATATTTTTCCGGTCAAAATACCGATGCATGGTAAATAATGTCCGATCCATGGTGAATTTTGAGTTATTCCTAAAAAGTCAATTTTTGAGGATATTTTCTCAATAAAGGGCATATAATTGTGTCCCAAATTGATAATTTAATCACAAACTAAACGTTAAACTCCATTTTGATAATTTTCCGTCGGTAGCGGTATCGCTAGAACTTGTTGAAGTACAAGGGTATCCGATGCATGGTGAATTCACCCTAATCTACAGATAGTTTTAGAGAATAGTATTTGAGTGAAGGAAGGGGGGTTGCAAGAAACTATTTTAGAAGAATTAATTTGTTTAATTTTAATCTTAAGTGTAAAATATTTGAAACTAAGTTTATATATATTATAAAAATAGAGAATAATACATACCCTTTTCCATATCACATCCTGCATCAGCCCGAGACACCAATATCAGCCAGAGAGCCGAAGGCCCGAGGGCTGATACAGGATGTGATGTGGAAAAGAGTCTGTATAAATATGTTTATTACATACTTAGTAATAAAATACAGCATACATTAAGTTGAGAAGAAAATAAGTAAATAATCATGCATGGACTTCTTACATGGTCTATTGTCTCATACGATTTGGGTTTGTTTCTACTTCTATTTCAATGCAATCGATCCTAATTTGAAAATAATCTATTACATGTATTTGTAAATTAAGATTAACCTTATTTTCAAAAAGTTAAAATTAAGAGAATATGAACCCACCAAAAATTGTGTATGATCACAAGTACTGTTTTTGTGGTTTAATTTAGCCGTATCAAGGGTGCCCTGATATCGGCGTCTGTGCATACGCGTATTTATTACTAAGTGTGTAATAAAGTACAATATTATAGATAACGGCGTCTGTGGCGTATTCGGTAGCGCGTCGGACTGACAATCTCGGGGTCGTGAGTTCGCTTCCCGGTATGGGCGTTGTCGGATTTTCCTCAAAAATGGATGCCGTGCACTATTTCGGCATAGTATGCCGTGCACTATTTCGGCATAGTATGCTTACGCTATATAAATCCTAAGAACATTATGCGAGAATAGTAGGGTATGGGTTATACAGAGACAAACTGACAGGAAGCATAATAATAATTCTTCGTATTGGGTATAATATCATTAACGAAATAATACAAATAAAAAAAAAATAATCGATTAATAGCATTTACAAATCAGTTAAACAAGCTAATTCAGAAAATCTGTGTCACTGCTTTAAGGAAATCAAAGTTTTCAAGAGTACAGACAGTGGGCTCATTTACAGAGTAGAATTTTCTACATGAATCATACATGTACATTGTATCAACAGATAAACAAGAAAACATTGATGTGACCATCAATTGTCGCTCGGAAGTAAATGCAGTAAATAATGGAAATGAGTCTTGATCATCAAACCGCTTCGATATCATGTGTGAAAAAGACTTGTGTCTGAATGATGGAGACGATAGTAGAGAAGATTTTGAAAACTTATAGTCGGATAAAAATAGAACAAAAAAGATACCCTTTTAAACTTTACCAATTCCCCAAGTAAATGTTGGCTGCATAAAATATCAATTAAAATCAGACACATGCATCACCTATTTTCAAAAATATTTCACTGAGAGAATATAAAACACGAAATTTGTAACGTACGTTTTCATGCGATACATGTAAGTAAAATTCAATGTTTTAAAAAAAAAAAGGGGGACCTGTCATTTTTTCGATAGTAAATGATAAGCAACTTTAAATTTAAAAGGTGCATAGACACGGATTTGAAGTTAATAATTTTTATTTTCTGTATAATATCACATCATTGCACTTTCACAAATTTTAATTTTATTCTTAATACTTCTAAAGGAAAAGTGGCAATCTCTTTTAATCATTTTTTTTATTCTTAATAATTATAAACATCTTTCCACCATAGCATTTTTTTATTTTTTGATATTCATAGGTTTTTTTTATTTTCATTTAAAAAAAAAATTGCTTGTTTCCATAGTCCTCAGTGCTTTCTTGATTAACTAATTACTGCTTTGGTAATTATATTTTTGAAAATTTCTCCTAGTAAATCCTTTGCCACTCTAAATTGCTTTGAATTAGTTTTACACTATTTAATACAGAGATACACATAAGATTTGGAAATTTTCCGCGGATAATTTTTCTTATTTAGCCTTATAAAAGATCTCAAAAAATGCCCCATTTTTCAAATTTTCAGAAACCATGTGAGTTTGCATGACCTTTTTCTTAAAGGAAAAATATTTCTGGAATTAGCGATTATATGCCCTATGTACCTTATATAAGTTCATGTTATTATATGATCTAGTAATTTTGTTAGAGTTTATTTGAAACTGGAAAATATTCATTTAATTAAATTTTCCTCAATTGTCATGTTTTCATTTAGTAAAAAATGGCCGAATTCAATGGATCCGTTTCCATGGCAACCGAGTGCACGCGTTGAACTTCCGACACCATATTTACTAGTTTTGTACAAGACACACCTATGGTGAAAATTTCATCAAAATGGGAGAAATGTCGTTTCTACAGTGTTAGAACAAAGTGATAAATGGATTTGATATTTAAAGAAATCATAATTTTATCTTAATTTCTATTGATATATTATATAGATGACCATGTTACAAGGCTTCATATTGTTTTTTATAGGGGTCAGCTTTGTTTAATTGTCCCTCACATGATAATGTCAGACATATAAAACTGTAGTTTGCACCCGGTATAGCGATCTATGTGAGTGGATCAATGGATCTGATTTTAATCAGATTGAGAGCGCTAAATACGTTAGTGAATATTTCTCGAATACCCATGCTCGATTTCACGGTCGGGAATTCTGGGTAAACTACTATGCTCTGAAATTACACTGGCAATACCAGTCTAGATGTGGATACTGATTTTTTTTTTTATTCATTGTCTAACCTACACACAAAAGTACAAGAAGAAGTTAGGTCATATTTATAATGCTACGATTCTAGACATCTTTTCTTAGTTATACTACCTTCCTGGACAATTCAGACAAGCCCGGAAAAAAACATTTCAGAGTATGTCATATAGACAGGTCAATTTTGTTTCATCTTCTGAAAATACATATAATCTGAATTTTCGAATTTTGTTGTCTGACCTACACGGAAATGTACAAAAAGTAACAGTAACTTGGGTTCTACAAAATCAAGACCATTATTTCTAGAAGTGTAATAAATACCTAGATTTTCTAATCTAACTTCACTGATCTTTCCGGAAAGCTCGGAAAACCGCGGCAACCTCGGTTAAAAAGAGTTATCTATTGCCGACGAGAAGCCCACTTATAGATTCACCATTCTGAATTGTGACCCCCCCCCCTTGCACCAATGTGTCTTCCTATTAAAAATATATCGATTAAGCAAATTAAAATATGGTTCAGATATCTTCTGTGTGTTATTATGCTATAGCGCTAGCTCACCAAGATAAGCTTGTAGAGTCTAAACTCTGATAGCACTGACCATCAAAAAGTCTTCCGCAAATGAACTCAGGACACGCTTGGGACTGAAGTTTTCAAAGTCATTACTATTGATGAATATTTGTATAGATAAAACTTCGATTTTATTTTTGTTTCTTTATTTAGCGTTTGTATAATCTCAAAAACGGTTTAGAGTAATTATGCACTTTATTTTTACACGTAACTTTAATTTGGCGACTTTGGGGTCAAAATCAATAGCCGGATATTGGGCCCGAGTGAAAAGAAGACCATGCGCGGAACTAGAGGGAAGGTCAAAAGGGGCACTTTAAGAGGGTCGGGCGGAGCCATGGGGAGTTATGGTATGTAATTTCATTGCAAAAGCTCTTGAAATAGCTTCTTGAGATATTGCCCGGAAATGAAAGTTTTACACAAAGACAGTATGACCTTAGTTTGCTCTTTTGGCCTCAATCAGTTGGGACCTTCTTTAGGCATTAGGGAGTAGTTATGTAAAATTGCATTGCAAAAGCCGAAAGCTTTTCGAGATATCGCGGGAAAGTGTTATAGACAGACAGAAATACAGACGGATAGCTAGACGGACGGTCATACAAATCCAAATTAATATCCCTCACTCTCAGAGAAAGTGGGGGACAAAAAAAAAATTCGAATTCTTCATTAATAGTTCTACTCTTTTCTCGTGTTTTCCTTCTTTCAGACAATGGACGGAACTCTGTGGTGCGGCTTGCATATTGATGAGTGCGGAAGACATGGCGAAATTTATGAACTTCATGTTAAATGATAGAAAGACGGACTCGGGCATCCGTTTGATGGACCGAAAGAAGATAGAAGATTTCTTTTTGATATGGCAACAACTGCAGTCCTCACGTACAGAGGACTATTTTGTAAAATCCAAAGGGGTCCCGTATTCTAGAACATACTCAGGATACAGCTTGGGGTTCAATGTTGGGAAATATAGAGGTAAACCTTAATCATCAATAATTTTCATCTTTGTATCAAAACCAAATTTTCTTAAGCCAATCAAAACGGTTTTTAAATGATGGAAATCCTTTTATAGAAAAGAGGATAAAAATTCATGAAATGCCAGTAAATCAGTTTAGTATGAAATGTAAATTATCGTGGACCTTTTATATAAGATACATTTAGTGATTTAACAATGAAGGGTTTACATGTTCTTTTTAATTAGATCCAGTGGGTCATTGTGTATTTTAGGTCACAGAATACTAGAGGAGGCGGGAAACCTCTTTGGTTACCGGTCACTTATAACGCTTTTCCCAGACAAACACTTGGGTATTTTTATCTCAGCAACTGGTGAAGACGACGACGAAATGTTCCGGATTTCAGTTAGTTCCTATATAAGTGATCTTTATAATGAAGAGGAACCCTGGCTTAACTCTACCATGCTTTGTAACTTTCCACAACCTTTCATGCCCCACCCTGTCAAGAGACGCCCCACTTACATCCCTAGAGACATTCCGCTAGAACGCCCGGTTGAGGACTACACGGGGACATATTTCAATGAAGTGTTTCGTGACTTGTTGATAACGTCCGAAAACAACCAATTAAAACTTACCTATGGTTACGTCACCTTTGATCTTCAGAAGAAAGCGAAAAATTCTGAAAAATTTTACATGATCGCTCAAGGGTCTGCAAAACATGTTCTTCAGACAAAATTCCTTCAGTTCCGAGAAAGTAAGATAAATGGTACAGACACTATAAATGCAGTGTATCTCAAGAGCTTCGAAGATAGTGAATTTGTTAAATTGCCGGACGTTGACATACTATCTAACCACTTCGACTTCCTGTGACAAGCTAGCGAAGCATTCAGGAAAGATTTTGGGGTATTACTTTACAAAAAATATCTCTCAGGATAAAGAAATATTACCGTTGCAGTGTTGCCTACACTTTATAAAACCGCGTACAGTTGCATATAGTAGTACATTGTTAATGTAAATAAAATCACGAAATAAAAATACTAGCTTTTGATTTTTATGCCCCCATAATCGAATATTTGTGGGTACCGTATATAGTTTTTGTGGTGTCTGTCTGTCTGTTTGTCCGCAAAACATTAACCTTGCCCATAACTTTTGATTTAGTGGAGCTTTGACTTTCATATTTCACATGTGTATTCCTTGTGACAAGACCTTTCTTTGGGTACCACCAAATTTGACCTTTTGACCCTGACCTTGGAGTTTGACCCACTTTTCTACAAACATTCCAAACTTTTACTTTGGCCATGACTTTTGAACGATAGATAAAATAGGACTTTCATATTTCACATATGTATTTTGTGTGGCAAGACCTTTTATTGGATACCAACAATTTTGACCTTGACCTTGGAGATTTCCGTACGTATGAAAAAACTTTAACCTTGGCCATAACTTTTGAACGGTAAGGGCTAGGGCTTTTATACTTCACATATGTAATCCTTTTGAGAAGACCTTCCATGGACACTAAGAACTTTGGCCTTTTGACCTTGAAGTTTGACCTACTTTTAAAAGATAAATCTTGACAATAACTTTCAAATGGCTTTCATACTTTACTATTTAATCCTTGTGACAAGACCTTTCTTTTGACGTCAAGAACTTTGACCCTTTGACCTTGGATTTGACCTACTTTTTAAAAACTTTAACCGTGGCCATAACTTTTGAACGGTTGGGGCTAGGGCATTCATACTTCACATATGTAATACTTGTGACAAGACCTTTCTTAAGAAACCAACAACTTTGACCCTGGAGTTTGACCTACCTTACAAAACCTTATCCTTGGCCATAACTTTTGAACAGGTGGTGTGTTTTCTGTGTTTTCGTAGTCAAAGATTCGGGGGTATATAGTTTTTGCCTCTTTGTCTGCAAAAACTTTAATCTTGACCATAACTTTTTAGTGGATGGGGCTAGGGCTGTGTATTGAGCCAAAAATGTAATGAAATCATGCATTTAAAACTTATACCAAATTTTCAAACAGGTCTAATTTTTGGCTATTATTTGCCTCTTTTAGGAATATGTAACTTTCAAAAAATGAGTGTTTTTTTTTGGCATTTCTCATTGAAATCTGCATGATCTTGACCTGTTCGAAAATATTATATAAGTTTTAAATTTCATTTCAAGGTAACGAGGTCGCCCTCGTGGCGCAGTGGTTAGAGTGTCTGCTCTAGAGTCGCCTAGTAAGGAGTCGATCCTTACGTCGCGGGTTCGTATCCCAAAATGGGACGTCGCAGTAGGTGCTAGCACAAAAAAAGATATCTCACTGATAAATGGCTCTGAGTACGGAGAATAGGAAAAGTTTTGTAGCTCTCCGCCGGCAAGTGGTGGCGTCTCCATATGACTGGAAAATTCTCAAGAGGGCGTTAAACAACATACAGTCAATTAAGGTGATGAGCGCATGGCGAAGGAACATTTGCTACACATTTTTTTTTATCGACTTACGTCAGTCGCCGCCGAGATTCAAACTCACAACCTTTCCAACACGAATACATTAACTTTATAAGTTTGGTGTAAGGCAATTAAAGAATTTAAACTCAAGGGTGGTTAAATGTATTTCCAAATAGGGCGTTAGATAAAAATATATGACACAGAATTCATACTTTTGTGGAGGAAAGAGATTGACTTAAAAACACCCCCTTCTACAATTTAGGATTTACCGAGAGTAAATTTGTTTCACAGTTTCTGTGCAAATTTTACCGATCATAAACGACAATGTTCAAAACATCAAATTTCCATGCTTTGAAATAGTTTATTGTTGTTACTACCCACCAACATTTGCTGCTTTTGTTATGTAACGGTTCTTGGAAGTATGAACTAAATGATTTTAAAATTAAAACTACATACATTATCTTAAAACAAATTTTAACTGGCAACCGCGAGGCGATCGTCAACGACATGTATCTTTAATAAAGTGATCGTACAACACACTCACAAATCAGAGAAACTTGTTGTCAAAAAGTTTATTTTGACATACAATAAATAATTAAATTTAAATTAGGGAGGCAGTCATTGTTATATACCTTTTTAACTCTTAAAACTGTCCTACATTAATATAGAAAATAGAAATTAACTACGTAGATTAAACAGATACAATTGAAAAAGAGTTTGATGGGTAACAAAAATATAAAGTAGAAATTTTACCTCAATTTTCATAACAGTGTCATCCCCCCCCCCCAAAAAAAATAACCCTTGACTATATAATGCAAAAGAGGTACATCCAGCCTATTGGTTTTGCCCCCCCCCCCCCCATTTCAAATTAGCCCCCCCCCATCCATTTCAATTTGCTTCCGACGACTATGAAAGTAAGGTTTTCACCCCAACCCCCGATTCCACACTGTACATGTACGTGCATGATATTAAAAATAATCAATTCATTTTTAAAAAGTAATACTAATAATAATAACATTTTTAGGTAAATTAAAAATATATATATACTGTAATACATAATGCTATTATATTAACACGTGCGTGTACAACACATTTTTTGTTTACTGAAAATTTTGGTAAAATTGCTAGGTATGCAAATTCCTTTGATCGTTATTTTTATAGTATTAATACATATCTTTTTTTTCCTGAAAAATTCAGTTTTTGATATGTATGCAAACTCCTGTAATTGAACTGCCATTTCATAGACAATAAAACATTTTTTTCTATAATGCTAAAATTCGGTCCTATAACACTCTATAGGTATCTGTTTTAAAAAATAAGCAAATAATATCAAGTTTTAGGGTTCCGTAGAGTTTGGAGTTTTAAATTTTGTTCTCTTAAAATACGGACAACGTCAGTTAAATTAAATTCGCTCTTTACCTCTCGAAAATCAAAAGCTCGGTATCTCGTTCTATTTCGACTTTCCCACCATACCACATGGCTATCTATTACTTTATTTCATTAAAAGTATTTTCAAGCGGGGGTATAAAAATATTGACAGACCGGGGAGCTACAGGCACTGTCCATTGAAAAAAAAATGTATATTTATTGCGCACAAAAAGATGCACTTGATTTTGAATTAATTTTTCCAAATTTTTACCACGATTGCAAGAAAAAAAACCCACCTAGATTTCAAAATATTCCTTACGTCTCTATCAAGTTTTCTCGTAGTTCACCTCTGTACGAAGCGCGTTGGACCGAATTACAAAATGGCAGTATAAGTAGCCGAAATTTTTGATGATTTAAATTCAGGGCCAGGAGTACGAAAGCCCAGTGAGCTCATTTTCGTAGGTTAAAAAAAATGATCGCGTTATAACGCGAAACTTTCGCGATATAACGCATAACTTTTGCGTTATAATGCGAAACTTTCGCGATATAACGCATATCTTTCGCGAATAAACGTGTAACTTTCGCGTTATTTCGCGAAATAATATGTATATAGTAATGTTACTCAGGAACATTGATCTTGACTGACAGATTAGAACATGTACACAGACGGGAAATCTCCAGATCTCATTTATAAAATATCATTTCCTCAGAAGATGTACTGGAGAAATGATGCGAGAATAGTATAGATTAGTCATCAGAATATTTTTTTTATTTTAAAACCTTACCATTGAATTTATAAAATGAGTTTTACTTTCTTGTACATGTTTTTCAATTGTTAAATTCTTTAGACCAATTATTTTTTTCAAAGGAAAATCTCCACTTGACACTTTTTTCAAGCTGTTTTTTTATCAGTATCATTTACTACAACTGTACCACTGTCTAGTAGATTAAGCAATCAATCATTTTGGACAAAAAATTATACACTGTAGAAGCATAACTTAAAAGTGAATGAACAATGTATAATTTCATGAGCTTAACGGGTCATATGATGCTGTTTAAATAACAATTATAATTGGATATTGTTAATTACAAATTTATTGAGGAGGAGGGGTCTCTAAATTTTCTCCAATATTTATGTATTGGGTTATAGAGAAGTTCATGGACTAGACATAAATAAAAACTATGAAGGTATATATAGCAGAGTTTGAACACTTTGAATTGTCAATGTTTTGGTAAGCAATGGGATGACGACGTGGTGCATCCTCAAAATACGATATTTTCACAGTGAATCCAACGGAGACAAATGAAAATTTGCTGTCTAATTTTCACAAATGCGGTGGGACACAATTGATAGATTTACCTCATTTTGTCAATTTTTTGAGATCTTGATCTCTATAAAATAAAATTATTTCAAATTCTCTAGAGAGTGCATAAAAAAGACGCCGGAAAGGGGTGATTTTTAAGTTAACTTTTGAAAAAACTCGCATAAACTTTGAATTGTTTGAACAGCGTTGAGAAAGACAATAGCATGAAAGCTTAAAATTTATCTTTTGATAGTCCAAGATCAAAATAGCCTTTTGCTTATCATTGTAATAAATAAACTTGATGACAAAATCAAGAGAAAGTTGAGACTAAAGCAAGTTTCGCGTTATAACGCGAAAATTAAGCGTTAATTCGCAAAAATTTCGCGTTATATCTCGAAAGTTTCGCGTTTTATTATATACCCATCAATTTCCTTATTATTGTTACTGTTAATTTTACAGAGTTTGATCCGATTTGCCGGATCACCACACTGTGGTTTTCTGAATCCATATCACCACTCTCTGAAACTGATGGCGTAGTACGCATAAAAATTACGTTGTTTTACTTGTGCGTTAAAAAGTCCCTTGTTATTATGCTTTGCTTTATGGATAGAAATTACATAATTGATCTCTAAAATTTAGTTTGCTATATTTAGCTAGTTATAAGGGGGCATGTAATAAATTTATCATTATAACAGTAACTTGATCCGAAGAGCCGTATCACGTCTCGTTGACAGGCGCGGATCATCAGATCAAACTCGACGCTTCGCGTCTCGTTAGATCTGATTATCCGCGCCTGTCAACTCGACGTGATACGACCCTTCGGATGAAGTTATTGTTATAATAATATATATTTATATATCGCTAAAGTTTCGCGTTATACCGCGAAATTTACGCGTTTATTCGCGAAAGTTACGCGTTAATTCGCGAAAG